CAAAGAGCCCGAAAAACCCAGAACAACCATTAGATCCCGGCCGTGAAAGCCTTCGCGAATACAATTATTAAAATCATCAATAGCTAAAGGAAAATGAAGCATGCCCAGTAGCCATGGAACAAAACATGCTCAGGAGCTACAGCATACTAGGAATCAGCACTACTGCAAAAGAACACTGGAAAATTTTAAAGTTGGTACCCTGCAATTTTTTGTTACATGTCCCATTTTGTTATCACAAATAAAAGAATCTATTGGTTGTTCTGGGTTTTTCGGGCTCTTTGACCGTGTTCAGAATATGGCCAAAGAGCCCAAAAAACCCAGAACAACCATTAGATCCCGGCCGTGAAAGCCTTCGCAAATAAAAGGAATCTATTTCTTGCTTGTACAGCATGGGGAATTCTCCTCATGCTATATTCACTACAAGTGGCAATAACACAACCATATTGAACTCACTGTTTTCCACAGAACACAGAAGAATACCATCACAAAGATCCTACTCAGTTATGACAGGCAGTGGATTTTCCTGGCTACAGTGGTGCCTCGCTTAACGATGTTAATTGGTTCAAAAAAAAACACATTGCTATGGGAAAACATTGCTAAGTGAAACATGTTTTCCCATAGAGATGCATTGAAAACCAGTTAATCCGTTCCAATGGGAACGGATTACCATGCTTAAGTGAAAATGGCCATAGGAAACATCACTAAGCGAAACAATGTATCCCCCATTGGAATGCATTGAACAGGCTTCAATGCATTCCAATGGGGAAGAAAAAAATTCACCAAAAATTGATGACGAGTCAGAAGCTGTTTTAAATGCTTGGATTCGTTAGAGCACCTTGTAAAATGTGTGCAAACTTAAGTTGGCTGTGTTCTGACTCTTCGTTAATTTTTGGTGAATTTTCCCCCCCATTGGAAAGCACTGAACCCGATTTTGACAGCTGTCAAACGGGCACTTCAATGCATTCCAATGGGGAAGAAAAAAATTCACCAAAAATTGATGACGAGTCAGAAGCTGTTTTAAATGCTTGGATTCGTTAGAGCACCTTGTAAAATGTGTGCAAACTTAAGTTGGCTGTGTTCTGACTCTTCGTTAATTTTTGGTGAATTTTCCCCCCCATTGGAAAGCACTGAACCCGATTTTGACAGCTGTCAAACCTGCAGAGTTATGTGTATGACTTTCATCAAATGAGATACAGCTACTTTGAATACATAGTCATTCTATTTTCCACAGAATATATGGCACTAATAAGACCCAGTTAAGAGAACAAACAGAAACTGGAGACAGAAATAAAAAACTATGGAAGCTGTAATAATATTCCAAGGAAGAACGATCAAATCTTTGAAATGCGTTTTACAATTAGTTGCAATAGTCTGAAACTTTATTTCAAGGCTTTAGAGAGTTATTTTAAATTTAGGCAAAACTGCTCCCTAAGTAAGACTTGCATTCACATTTGAATGCTACTGTTTCTACTCAATGAACTTTTCAATTGCTCCTATTAGCCTTCTGGTCAGCGAGTTTCATGAAACAAGCAGATGTAAACATTTAAGTAAGCACTGCTGAACCATGTGTAGCTCCCCTGTCCCCCTCACCCAATGGATGTGTTCTCTGAAGAGTTCTCCCATTGCTAAAGCATTACTTTCATGTAAAGGCTATAAATGAAATTGTGGTTCCACACACAGTTTCTTCATGTAGTGTTTTTTCTCCTTTGCACTTTTGTAATGTTTTGCCCCCATGGCCAAAGCATTACTAAACTGAGACTAGGAACTTTACAGCAAGGCCCTAAAAGTCCCTCAAAAATTTGTCCTGTGGTGTTCAGTGGAGCATGCTCTTCAGCAAATGTGCTCAGAACTCCAAAGTTCTACAGAATATAATTTCCTGTGTTTCAAGTCTTCAAGTTCTGCTTCTACCACTATACAACATTTGCTCAAGAATACCTCCTAACACTTAGTAAAAGGCACTGTACAGCTATTCCATTTTCCACGTGTGTGTGTGTGTGTGTGTGTGTGTGAGAGAGAGAGAGAGAGAGAGAGAGAGAGAAAGAGAGAAAGAGTGTGTGTGTGAGTGAGAGAGAGAGACACAGAGACAGAGAGAAGAAGCCGCCTAGAGTGGTTGCAATGACCAGATAGGCGGGGTATGAAAGAAAGAAAGAAAGAAAGAAAGAAAGAAAGAAAGAAAGAAAGAAAGAAAGAAAGAAAACTGAATTTAAATCCTGAAAAAATAGGTCACATCCTCTAAAAGAATTTCTTGCCATTTTGAAAAAAAAAGGCGCCATTAAAAAGCCACAATTTTCATTTGGTTTTTTAAAATGAAGACAAAAAAGTATTTTAATTTAATTTTAAAAACAAACAAAACACACAATTTCAGCATTTCCTGGTGGCTATTTGAATAGCAAAGACAGAGAAGTAAGACAGCCTCAGAATATGGCTCAATCACCCCAAATGCCACTTATTTTGTCAAAGCAGCATGTCCATATTGTTATGCAAGAAGGCACCTGCACAACAGTAATATATGCCTATGTAGAGCCCATTCTATTTTCTTCCTTCCTTCCTTTAAAAGGTGCCTTTTTTGACAAAAGGAAAGAGCATGGGGTGGGGGAGTACAAGAAAACAATTACTTGATGACAATGTCACATTGATGCCCTATTTAAAATGAATGAATTAATAGCAACTCCTAATTGAACATCTAGTGTGGAAACACCATTGTCTCTTTGAGGGGAGGACAAGGGAACCCTAAAAATGAATAGGGCCACTGTCTTATGCAACAAAGCCACTAAAACAATGGAAAGACCTCAGCATGGTATTCAGAAAAAGTAGGCAAGAGATTGTTGTTGTCACAAAAACAAGTACTTACGTTGGAAGTTGTTCATGAAACAAGCCTGGGCGACGATCATCCATTCTGCTCTAGTTTCACAGAAAATGGCAATGTTTGTCTTTGGTTGCTGGCCCAACACAATTAATCCATCTCCAAATTGTTTAGCTTTCATGAAAACATCATCGTATGAGAGCCAGTTGTATTTCCCAAGGATGACCTGGTTTTTAAAAAATAGTTTTAAAAATAGAACATGGGCCTTCATCCTTTTCTACCTCTAATCCAGTAGTTCCCAACCTTGGGCCTCCAGACATTCTTGAACTACAACTCCCAGAAACCTTCACCACTAGCTGTGCTGGCAAGTGCTTCTGGGAGTTGCAGGCCAAGAACACCTGAGTTACCCAAGGTTCAGAACCACTGCTCTAAGCCCTTCTCCATTTTGTCTCTGTCAACATTTGGATGGTAAGACCCACATGATGAACACCTGTATTGGCATAAACAACATAAATTTACAAAGAAATGCAAAGCATTTCTTCATTTAGTGTCATGATGACAAAGATAATACAGTAATATTAAAAATAATGGCAACTTTGGTTTCTAATCCATGCTACCTTGGGCTCTCAAAGAAGAGACTAAAGCTACTAATATTAAGTCATGGCATTAAAAACCAGCCCTCCTCCAGAGGGGTTTCTGAAAGGTTAGAACCTTTTTTCTGTTAAAAATGGCAATGTCACCAGCCTGACCAAGCCAGAGGTATTTTTCTGCTGTTACCCATAATTGCAAATGGAGGAGGGATGTTTTTAACACTCCAGTTCCCCCACTTCGTTGTCATTCAGCAGTTTCGTACAATCTCTAGCCCCTTGTGACAACCACCTGAAAGGAACAAGTATCTTCATGTCACCAATCTCTACTATTTTCCACTCAAAGTTCTATTTACATGGAGCAGATTACAGTACCATAAACCAAAATCTTGGCACACACTGAACAAAAGGAAAAAAGATCGCTGCTGCCCTCCAGTGCATGTTATGTGTTACAACACTCTGGAACAAACACCCAAAATACATTACAATATGATCACAAAATTGAAGGGAAACAAAGGGAAAATAAGGAAAGGACACAATGTTGCGGCACTTGAGAGACAGATTTGAGTTGTTTTACTATGAGCATCACAAATCAACAGATCTGATCAATGAACTCTGATCAATGAACAATGTATCAAACTGAATAAAATCTGTTAGTGCCACAACATTTTGTCTTTTGCTTTTTTCTCTTTCTTCACCCCCACATTTTTAAACAATATTGCTACCTGTGTTGGAACTATCACAATATGGTGACTTTGAACATACTGCAGGAGCACTCCCAAGTACACTTACTGCTAATTAAGTCCCATTTAATAACACTTAACTCCATATCAACATTGATAATTGCCACTTATTAAAATGATGAACCACGTGCATCGCTTGGGCTTTATTCTATAATGCTTACCTCTGAGTTAGATGCATTGAGCTCAGTGGGACTTCACTCTGAACTGACAACTATAGGATGTACTATAAACTACTTAGGAAGCTCACACAACTTTGTAACTTTAGCTGCTGAAAATGATGTTTCTTAGCCAAAAAATATTTACCTCAGATAAAAATGCTAGGTAGTTTTGCAGCTCGCATCTAAAAAGGATGCTCGAGTTTAGTGATTTTAAAAGCTGTTACTTCTTCTGAACAAGAGAAGTGGAAGTGACACTCTGTTCAATTCCCAAAGAGTTATACTCTTAAATACAAAACAGCTCTTTCAAATCTAAAGTGTTTTACAACCTTGAATATAAATGTTATATAGAAGAAGGAAGAAGGCATATTTGGATCTCATTTCTGATAACAAGATAATTTGTCCAAGATACCCAAAGATTTGCAATTCTTAATTGTTTCACAGTAGGAACAGTAATTATTAAACAATCTTCCTTCATTCTGTTTGAGCTGTTAGCTTTCTTCATCTGTAAAGCTTGTGTAGGTTAACTTTAGAGGACTGGAAAACAGACTCCGACGGATGTTCTGGCACTGAAACCTCCACCACCCTTCAGTATTAGCTATACTGGCCAAATATGATGGAGCTGTAGGCCAAAATCACCTGGAGGACTACAGCTGCCCATACCCTTCCCAGAGAATGACTCTCAGGGTGCAGCAGATTATTAACTCTGCCATGCAAGCCACTGTTTGCATCTGGCTCCTGTCAGTAAACTGCCAGTTCCTCGTGAAAAAAAGTACATTTTGTAAGCATGAATCTGCCCAGGCTTGCTTCACAATGCAAGTTCATCTAAATGCTGCCACCACATGGAGCAAAACAGAGTGGCAGGGCTTACTCCAACAACTTTTCTTGAAGGACTTCTCTGCAGGCACAGTTTGAGCCTCCTCCCTCTTCTACACATCACACTCTCTGCAATTTTCAGTAGCATAGTCTTCTTAGGAAAATCAGATTGTGGGTCCTTAAAACTGCATCTATGGGATCTGTCAAACACAGTCTGAGATCAGGCTTTTTTCTGATGTGGCCAAAGGTTATTTCTAATGCCTGAATGATGATAATTGCAGACTGGTATCCATGTTAGTCTATAATCTGTTGAGGCAAAACCAACAAAAACTCTTCCAGTAAAGTTAGCAGAAAGTCTTATTTGGCATATATTTCAGGATACAACCCACGAAAGCTTATGTGAAATAAAACTTGCTAGCCTTAAAAGTATCACAAGTCATGCTGATGCTTTTGCAGACAGAAGAGTTCCACTTATTTTGGCCTATCTCCACTGAATCAGACCGGGCAAGTGGAGAGCTGACTGAACTGGACACTCAGTCATAGGAAGGAGAACGAGATATAGGTGAAGGAAAGCTATGATGATGTGCTGTTCCCCCTTGATCTATCTAAGCTGCCATGGAGAGAAAAAGCCAATTATATGCAACTCTTCCGCCAGGTCTAGCTTGAGATTTACCCAGTAATTCCAATGTGAATGTTTTCATAGAGCTGTACAAGAAGCTTCTCTGACTTTTTTTCCCCCGCATACAATATAATAAAACGGGGGGAGGAGAACCTTTGCTCTCCCGATGTTTTGACTACAACTCCCATAACACCTTAATATTAGCCACATTGTCTGAGGATTCTGGGAGTTGAAGTCCAAAATATCTGGGAGCGTTGCAAAACAGTGAGCCACACTGTATCTACGACTCAGAAAAGGGCCTCCGAAGTATAAGCTTCCAAAGCCTTTAATCTTGTCATTCTTCCATTTCTTTTTCCTTAGAAAGGAAAAAAAAGCAGCCCTTGTTTTTGCACTCCTCAGCTGTCTGGTAGTTTAGTAACTTGCATAATAGAACAGACTAAAGCTCTCAAATACTGAACATTCATTACACTAATTATGATGAAAAGAAATTTACTAAGTAGCTAAAATCTTAATCTGCGCTCAAAAGCTCAGTTCATAAGTAGTAACAACTTGTTTTCAGTAACTATACTCTTCAGGCCAACTGGGACATTTATAAATCACAAGCACCCACGGTTCAAAGGAGGAATGAAGGGTTTTACTAGGCTCAGTCACCAGCAATTATTCGTGCTAGCTCACCAGTCCCACTGATCCATCCTCTCCCTGATCATAGGGAGGGAATGTCAGGAAGGAAAAGCACCTCCTTCTTCTTTTCTTTTGCTTTGCACTAAGGGGGGTCTAGTGAAAAGGGCATAAAGACCAGGAGGTCTGGAGAACCCTCAGTTCCAGCTTCATGGACCACAAAAAATACACAAACTGTCAGATAAGAAAGAAGCAATGAGGGCTCCCTTTTATTCCAACAGCTACTCGAAAATTTATTTTGTTCACTAGGTGAGTTCAATGACGAATATAAAAAATAAAATAGCAGAGAGGTTAAAAGTACAAACTGAATATAAATTTAATTTGTTTTCTTCATTTAAAAAAAAGAGTCAGTCTGAACATTGCTTGTCTACAAGCAGAATTTCAGCAATCCTTGGCTCTGCCTTCAGAATACAGAGTTCTCCCAAAAGGGGAGTTTGAAATAGGGTGATTAAGAAGGAACAGACAGGATAAAAAAAGTACGTACATGGAGAAATAATAGATACTGAACAGATCCATAAAAAAATTAGGGGTGCATGTTCAGTATCCAAACTGTAGGAACAGAGGCTTTACAAGTAAGTTACAAAAGATCACAAGACTGATACAAGAATGATGCTGCATTGTTACATAGTGTTGAGCTTCCACTAGAGAAATGGCTTTAACAGGTATACAGAAATTTAGCAGATGTAGTAACACTCACTTCTGCACTTCCATGCTAGAAAGGGATGCACTCGTCAGCTGAAATCCTGTTGCTCTGCTGCGCAGGCAGAAGGCAAACAGCATGATATTTACTCAGTTTTAGCACAACTGGGTGCCTGCTGGGACTCTCAAAGCACATGCCAATACAGTGGGGGCATGTGCTCCCAAGAATCGTGAACTCTTTAATGTTCAGCTAAAAGAAAGTGAATGCCATGCTGTCTGCAGGATCAACAAAGCAACAGGACTCCAGCCATTGAATTTCTGCCCACTACACAGCTTTAATGTCACAGGAGCATTCTCCATGCCCCTTTTACAGACACATTGCTTTCAAAGTACTTTAATTAAATGAAACCTATTAAGTTACACTCCTATGCCTTTAAAACCTTGAAGATAAAGACACTCAACAGTCTCTCACCACTACAACTGCATCTTGATGAATTTCTACCTGTTATGAGTCATTCAAAGCATATGAGTCATGACAGAAAGAAAGATGGAAACCATGCCAGGAAGGGGGGGAAAGGGGCAATCTTTGTCCAGCTTTTGTGATTTTTCAGGTGGGAATAGAATAAAGGATATAAATATACTTTATATGAATATCCTTTCAATGTACCACTAATTCTCCCTATTTTAAGGTTTGATATAATCCTCTCTTTTTCAAAGGCTCCTCTTAACACCAAAGACCTTACCAGCCCAGTCGGGTGCCAAAAGGCCCACTATAGCACAACAGGACTGTTGCCTAAGGACAGGGACTCCGTTGCCTCCCGTTTGCTCTCTGACTGCAGATCCCATTAGCCCCAGCCAGATTGGTCAATGATTAAAAAAATAATGGAAGTTGTTGTTCACCAGCATTTGGAGGACCACAGGGCTCTCTACATGCTGGAGCTGATTGCTCCATGCACTATTTCAGAGAAGAAGATAAGTGGCACAAGCCAATTACAGCAGTTCTTTCTTTTTGTCCAAAATTAGGCAAGAAAAAAGTTCAGAGGATTTAAGATTAGTCAGTTGTTCTTGGCCCTTTGAAAAAGTATGAAGAACTTGAGAAAATAGACTTTTGTGCTCAGAAATACTGGTGCTGAAGAAATGCAAGTTGCTACTGATGACCTGGAATTGCAATTTATGGGCCTGAAAAAGCAGCACAGAACTAATTTAAGCCATGTAGGATTTATAATATATTCCTCCCCGATCCATCAGGCTCATTCTTAGAGAAGTTATTCCAAAAACTAAGATATGCTCTAAGTGAAAGAGAAGATGTTCATCTTTCCTACCTGCAGCTGCCCCAGAAACACCAGGAAATGAGGAGTATGAATGTCAAACTGGGAGTCTGAGAAACTAGCTGCCATGCTCAAAATATGAAGCAAACATATAAAGCATTTCAACCTATGGAATTAATGTGAGGTGATCCCCAATACAGCCACATCTTTGTAAATCAGCTATTAATTTATACAAAGTAAACTATGATATTCTTCTAATTGGTAATAGTTGAGACTACAACCACTTCTGATCAGCAGCCAGTCTTCTAAATCCTTCAGTTCAGTCAGCAGGCTACCCTATGATGGACAGAGCATTTCAGAGGACACCACCATATTATCATAGTTTTCTGCAAGAACATGTGATAGCATGTTTCCTATACAGTGTTACCTCGGTTTACAAAAGCCTCAGTTTATGTAATTTTTGGTTTAAGAACCAAAATCCATAGAAAATAATGCCCTGGTTTACATCATCCCCCCCACCCCCCAGAAAAAAGGATTTCCCCAGGACGCATTATGCCTGGAGGTTTCTAGCGCTGCCCACATTTCCGCATTATGTAACGTCCCGGAGGATGCATTAATTCCATAAACCAAGGTATGCCTGTATATTATTCCCCTCATGTGCTACCTGTGACTCTTAAGCTCATTTACATGAATAAGAATAAAACTTTCAAACCTATCCTTCTTTAAAGTTACTCTCTTAAAAAGCCAGAAGAGTAACAAACCTTTTTAAAAACTTTTCCAGATGGCTGGATTTCATCTTCCTCCTTTAGGATTTCCCGTGTTCCTAGAAGTTTTTTGTCCTTATATTTACTTCTAGCATACTTGAAAGCTTTGTCAAGGGTATCACATCCAGGATACAATACAGACGCTAAACAATGCAAACTGTTGACAGATCTATATGGGCTACCTGGTGTGTTATGCACAGGTTTAGCCTTAATTTGCCTCGACTTTGCTATGGTATATCTTGATCCAGAAAATAAATACCATGGAATAAAAGTTATAACTGTATACAGCCAGACCACAAAGTTTATAAGATAAAGAAGAAAAGGATTAATTGTATGCTTTAGTTTCATTGCCTCCATCTTTGAAGAGTGTAAACTACTCAGAAGAGCTTCACAAGCGTATCAAATAAAGATCAATGCAGTCCTGAAACAGAAAAGAAGAAAACTCTATCACATATTGCTAGCAGTTCCTTAGTTTCTTTAAATTAAAAGTAAATGCTTTAATGAACCAACAAGGAAGACAAAGTCAATGAAATGGAAGTTGATGTTACAACCTGCAGTGTGCATTTCAATACTGAATTCAGCAAAGGGCTGCTAACTATCAGAACTGGATAATACATTCATTAGACACTAGAACTAGATTTGGGATGAGCTATCAATCATGGCTGCCAACGGACTATGACTTAGTTCTGATATCAAGAACCTAATCCTCCCATCCACAGTTTAGGGTTATGCTGTGGGCTGACCTGTTCCCTCTTCCCTTCTTACCCGTCAGATTCCTCCTCTGCTTTCTGGTTACAATGCTCAAATTAACAAACTATGATTCATATCTTCTCTTCAAAGGATTATACACAAACTGCAAGCATATTTCATATCATGGTTTAGAGACCAAGTGCTTAACATCATTTGTTAATTTGTATCTCATGGAAAATATGATTAAAGAAAACAGGAAAGGGAAATATATCCATACAAGAGAAAAAAACATCTGAAGTCATATTTGGAAAGACATCAGAACTGAACCTACATAAATAAGTTTCCTTATAGGTAGGGAACAGGATACCCTTTAGAAGTTTTGCACAGGAACTTCCACCAATATTTGAAAGTACAACTTAGTTCTGCCACTGAGGCTCAGCTAGCACCTCAAATGTCAACATAGGATCAGTTTCATATGTGATTCTCCTTCCCAGTTAGGAGGGAGAACAGTGTACAAAGTAGTTCCTGCTATTATCTCTGACCAGAGATTAGACACAACATTATAGCTTCTAGCCTACGGGTGTGGGGAGAAAGGGCTTGGGAAGGTTCTGAATTAGAATTTTCCAGAGGACTGGACTCTGCTCCTCTCCAGACTGGGTTAGACATCCACACTTCTGCATAGAGACTATAAGATTTGTGCCTTTGGTATGCATAAACTAGTACAAAGCACCTTGGAATTGCAGTCCAACACCTATGGATCACACTGAGTTGAAGAAAGATGGAATATACAGCAGTTATTGAGCATATACAATCAGCAAGATGGCTAAAGGTATCTCTGGTCCTAAAAAATTCTTCTGCTACAATCTGCAAAAAATTGCCCATCTCCTTAAATGTGCTTTCAGATTCTTCTCCCGATTACTATTTGCTATCAGTCCATGTATCAAATGAGGTGGTTGCTGATCCACAGAATTCTAAATTTGAGCCTTGCAGAACTGGTTTTAATTGGGTTATTAACCAAGAAGACAACTTAAATAAGTTACTTTGACTATGACTCCAGACTCTGAGTGGTCATGGTGGCTGAGAAATAATCACATTTGAGAACTGCTGTCCAAAATAACTTTCCAAACTCTGCAGTCCAGTCCCACACCACATCATCCCTCTTCTGCCATGAGTTGCTCCACATTTACTATTGTATCACCAACCTCATTTCCTTGCCAGTTTTGCCACACCTGCATATGGCACTGAATGAATAGGCCTACTAAATCATAATGATTCAGTCAACATTTTTATTAGAGGACAACACAGAGAATCTAGATGTTGCCTGAGGCATTATATCATAATCTTAACAAATAAAAACAAGCTTAAGTGTGTAGTAAGAAACAACTCTGATTATCCCTAGAATTTTTTGCCAAGTCTACAGAATGGAACCTAGTATATGAACGAGACTCCCCTCATTCATGTTTCCTCATAACCCTTCAAAATCACATTGAAACACCCACGTGTTCACTTTGCTTACCAAGCCATATTGCTATATGATGTGACCCTTAAACATTTCTTTAATTCACTAGCAAAACGTGCATTAACACCTTCTGTAGTATCTGCAAGAGAAAAAACATGGTTTTAACTGGCAATACAAACTTCACACACCTAACTGACAGAAGAGAAAACTATCTTATCACAAATGATCATGCTACATTTCCAATGCTAGAAACAAGTTTCATGTAAGCTAAACCAGTGGTTCTTAACCTTTGTTACTCGGATGCTTTTGAACTGCAACTCCCAGAAACCCCAGTCAGGACAGCTGGTGGTGAAGGCTTCTGGGAGTTGCAGTCCAAAACTCCTGAGTAACACAAGGTTAAGAACCAGTGAGCTAAACCACCTCCTTGGATGAAAGTGATATAAATACACTGCAAACTAACCTTGCAGTCTATGGACGTACAGACCAATTTAGTACAGTAATACAATTTATCCAAGTTACAACAGCATTTAAAAAATGAAACCATATTTCCTGCATGTGTTTGGGAGTAGATTGCTTAGAACCTGCCACAGACCATGATCATACATTAATAGGTAGTTACGTTAATTGTGTTTGCAACCCTAAATAGTTACAAGCAAGTTTTATTCAACTTAAAAGAACCAAACTAAACCAATCAGAAGGTGTTTAGGATTTAATCAAAATGAAAAGAACTGAGCTAAAGTTAGCCAGAAGTTCTGGTAAATATCCTAAGAATCAATAGAGTTGACTTCTATTACATATTATAATCTGTGCACTTTACTATATCTTACAGATCTGAGCATGTTAACTGGGAAAGGAAAAACATAGAGTAAAAATGTATTAATCAAATGATCTGATAATCTTGTAAGAAACACTTAAACTGGTGTGAAGTATAGCATGTAAAATCAAACCTTAAATGACTTCTCATTTTTGTGGTTGGTACTGAAGGAACAGTAGTCTCCCGATACTTCAGCCTCAGCTGGCTTTGTCACAAACAATGTTGAAGAAACCTAAAGATTAAAGTTTCAAACACGATAAAGCAACTGTTAAAAACAAACAGACGCTAATTGCTGCCCTTTCAATGAAATAGAAGTTAAGTAAGTGTAAACTCTCCAAGCTGTGCTACAGTAATCGGATACTCATGCACAAAATAAATACTTCTGTACTAGTTCAGAAAGATTATATCATTGCACCATATTTTTAATTTGAAATCTGCCAGCAAGCTTCTAGGAAAACTCACAAAAATTTAAAAATTAATATAACTAAGTAAAATATACCTCCTACATAGTGCAAGCTAAAAGACAATCCATACAGCGAAGGGACCCATAGCAGTCACCATGCATATGCTGACTTCCAGCCCATGGCTAGCAGATTATTTGTTATTCATCTACACTGAAGTGCACAATTCAGGCTTTAGCACAATCCTTGAATATGCTAAGCACTGAATCCTACTCATGGCAGTGAATGCTCAACAGTAATAGACTTGCACAACCAACGGCCTACTGTAAACTGGAAGTGATGCAAACTTTTCAAGCCTTTTCCTGCACACAGCCACTGCTGTTGGAAAATACAGCCTATTCGGACAGCTGGCCAGCTGTGCACAGTGATCATGTTACAGCAGAGGTCCCCAACCCCCGGTCCGCAGCCTGGTGCCAGTCCGTGGCCTGAGCCAGACCGGGCCACCAAGACAGACCTCCCGCCCCACCCCCCGCATGCACTCACCCTGCACAGCCGGTTTGCGCCTGCGCGTGCACTCCAGCACAGCCATGCAAGCGCCACACCACCGTTTGCGCATGCGCATGAGCAAGCGAGCACCCAGACAAGCATTGTACCACCATTTGCGCATGCGCACAAGCACATGCGCACTCGTGTGAGAGAGTGTGCATGTTTGTTCGCACATGCGCACAAGCGCGGGGGTGGCCCGCCTTCCCCAGCCAGTCCATGGACCAAAAAAGGTTGGGGACCACTGTGTTATAGCATAAAACAATAAGTCAAAATTCCATAGAAATATGCTGGATTACACTTCTTTTGTGTTCCTCCTCTCCAACAGCCCCATACCAAAATCCATGGCCAATTAGCCACTATGCTGATTACTGCCTGGAAAGTCTTCTGCATACTGGATGGCTGGATCTGAGTGCTATGCAACAAATACTCCACAATGCTCCCAACATCACAATTGAGACAGCCACATGACATCAGTTGCCACTACTGCTTGCTTCTCTCAAGAAGTAACGCCAGCAGTCATTACCAACACAGAAAAGAGTCTACCAGAAAATATGTGGCATCCCAAAACCGGAACTGGTGCTTGTTAACCAACTGGGGTTAAAAAGTCAGTGCAGCAAGGTTTCTTCCATTGTCCCAAAAGATCCACAAACTGAGCCCTATTATTTCATTCTTAAATAGCAGCTTTGGACAGGAATTCTTTTTTCCAGCTTAACACATAAGCTGCATCTCAACCTGGCAATTAGGACCCTATTACTATTAAACATGGGAAGCATGTTGTGCGGGAGTACCTTTGAAAAGACTTCAAAGTGTCCCTGAAAGTGGGCTAGGCTATAAGAAGGACTCAACAAATGGGAGAATAGCTAAAAGGAGATTTAATGGTCAAAGGCTATATACATTTGCATATAAATATTTTGGGAGGAAACAATGGGGGCTATTATCTTTACAAGCACCTTACAAGCTTTAATACATCTTGCATAGATTACTGCAATGCGCTCTACGTGGGGCTGCCTTTGAAGACGGTCCGGCGACTGCAACTGGTCCAGAATCGAGCTGCGCGGCTGGTGAGTGGTTGGGCCGCTAGGGAACGTATCAAGCCGATTCTGTTTAAGTTACATTGGCTACCAGTTGCTGCCTGGGCCAAATTCAAAGTGCTTGTTTTGACATATAAAGCCCTAAACGGCTTGGGCCCTGGATACCTGAAGGACCGCCTCCTTCCATATGAACCTACCCAGCAATTAAGATCTAGCCAGGGGGCCCTTTTGAAAGAGCCGTCCCTTAAGGACATAAGAGGGACAGCTTGCAGAGAAAAAGCCTTTTTGGCAGCTGTTCCCAGACTATGGAATGCCCTCCCGAGTGAGATTCGTCTGGTGCTGACGCTGATGACATTTCGGCATCAGGTCAAAACCTTCTTGTTCCAGAAGGCTTTTAATTGAAATAATATCAGCTGTGGGTCCGATGACAATTTTTAGAGTATATATTTTAATTGCATTTTAATAATTTTGTCTTTTCATTGTATTTTAAATATTGTAAGCCGCCCAGAGACCTTTGGGTAGTGTGGGTGGCATATCAGTCATATAAACAAATAAAATAAAATATATAAGGGCTATTGGCTGGTAAAATGAAGACAGGATGCTGGAACTTTCCTTAAAGAAAACCCAATTGTATTCAGCAGGATTTATATAAAGGTAAACATGAACAGCCTTAGGATCTATGAGAAAGGATCTAAGTTCTGCTCAGGGAGATTAAACTTTTGCAAACAGTCTTAACGGCCACATTCTTAAAATGGCTCATTATGACACAATGGCATTATAAAAATACTGTACAAGCTACAATTCAAGAAACTGAAATTCAAATAAATGCTGTTAATTATCTACAGTACCAAAAAGCGAAAACACTGTCTTTAAACATAAACTTAAGCTAAGCAGATATGCACTGTGACCTCTACTTCAGAAATATCCTATAATCTATACTTTACTGACCAATATTTTAAACTGCTTGATGAATGATGCATTATCCTCAAAACTGAACATTTTCTTGTTTAGGAGCTGGTACATAAATCTTACTCTTGCAACTTCAGTGGTGCCTCGCAAGACGAATTTGATTCGTTCTGCTGTTAATGTTGTCTTGCAAAAAAATCGTCTTGCGAAACGCATTTTCCCATAGGAATGTATTGAAATCTAATTAATGCATTCCTATGGGCAAAAAAAGTCAGAACAAAGTCAAATTTGGTTTACAAAAAGTTTATTAAGTGCTCTTTAAAGCCATACATATGGTGATTTCAAAAATTTTAATTAAAAACTTAAAATTTTTAAATATCATAAAAAAACAATTAAAAATTAGCAAACATGAGGCAGGAACAAAAAATGGAAAACATTCGTCTTGCGAAGCACGGCCATAGGAACATTTGTCTTGCGAATCATCAACCCCATTACCAAAACCATTTGCCTTGTGAGTTTTTTTGTCCTGCGAGGCATTTGTCTTGCGAGACACCACTGTACTTTCTTGACTTGTAATTCAACTAACAGGGTTACTGTGAAATTAAAAGTAGATAAAGATGTGGTGTCACTTACAATAAACCTTTTTAAAAGAGAAGTTATTCTAAAAAAATAATTTAGTTATTAGACTATACTTATCATTAAATAGTGTTCTTAAGGTTATGCAGCAACCACCAATGCTGAAGAGGCTGAAATTGACCAATTCTAT